TTCCAAAATGCAGCAAGAATTAAGAGAAAACTTTTAGCCTTTCCACTCTGGTGAAGAAGGAAGACCAGCGGAGCTGTACAATGGAAAGTAATGGCCACAGTGGTAATGGCCGGCCGCAAGTCGGCAAGCCATGGATGGATGGATGGATCTGGCTAAACCCTGTGAATCGGGCGGTGGCTTGCGCCACCTAGCCAACATTATAAATCTAATATGTTTTGAATTCCAAGATTAAATCTCACCCCTGCCTCGATTTTAGCCACCAGTCTGATAACCTCCGCTTGGTTATTTCTACCCGTGTAAAGTCTATTTTTCCTTCACTGTCTTTAAAACCCAATGCTTTGATTAAATCCGCCCGGTCACTGTTAACTGTTGGGTGAAGCCCTTTACAGAAAAGTATTAAGTGTTCAGCCGTTTCCTCCTGCTCCCCACACACACTACATAAAGTGTCCATCTCCTGGTACTTAACCCGGTACGTCTTAGTCCGCAATACTCCTGTCCTGGCCTCAAACAACAAAGAGCTTCCCCTAGAATTATCGTAGATATTTTCTTTGCAAATTTCCTGTTTGAACATTCTGTACGTCTCCAGTGCTGGTTTTGTCTGCATACCCGTTTCCCACAGACCCTTCTCTGTTTCTTTTATCCTTTTCTTAACCCGTAATTCCTGGTTGGCGCCCCCACTGCCGCCCAAATATTTGCTTGATAATTTTCTAGTTCGCTTTCTCCATTTGGTATCTACATTCCTCATGTACAAATAACTGAAAACTTTCCTAGCCCACTGCTCTTCCTCCATTTCCCTCAAACGCTCCTCAAATTCTATCTTGCTGCTAGCTTCCCTGCCCTCGAATGACGTCCATCCCATGTCGCCTTGTACCCCCTGATTCGGCGTATTTCCATGAGCTCCCAAAGCAAGCCTACCTACGCCCCGCTGTTTAATTTCTAACTTTGCTTGAATATCTGGTCTCATGCACAGGACCGCATTGCCGAAGGTCAGGCCGGGAACCATGACCCCTTTCCAAATCCCCCTCACCACTTCATACCTACTGTAATTCCACAGAGCCCTATGTTTCATGACGGCTGCATTCCTGCTACCTTTCATCGCTACATGTTTTTCATGCTCCGTTAGATACTCAACACCATTATTTATCCATACCCCAAGATACCTGTACTTATCCACTGCCTCCAACATGACCTCTTGTATCCTATGCTCGCCACCATCTTTATCATTAAAAATCATCACTGCCGATTTTTCTTGACTAAATTTAAGACCTAGTTTATCTCCCTCTGTACCACAGATATCCATTAATTTTTGCAAATCTTCTTTGTTGTCGGCCATTAGCACTATATCATCTGCATACATCAGCCCCGGTAGTGATTGTTTAATCCATTCACCTTCCTTGATGAAAGAAAGGTTGAAGCCAAACCCGCTCCGCTCTAGTTTGTTCTCCAATCCCTGTAAGTATAACATGAACAACAAAGGCGACAAAGGGCAGCCTTGCCTAAGCCCCCGCTCTATCTATATAGGCTCCGATACATTTGTTTCCCATTTTATAAGCACCTTGTTGCTATTATATATATCTTTTAAAAGATTAGTTACTCCAGCTTCTACCCCTAATGTACCCAGTATGCCCCACAAATTCTCTTGAATTACACTGTCGTAGGCTCCTTTGATATCCAGAAACGCTAGCCATAGGGGCCTTTGTTCCTTTTCTGCTATTTCGATACACTGCGTTAAAGAGAACAGATTGTCCTCTAACCTCCTTTGCTTCCGGAACCCATTCTGCAGCTCCCCCAGCACCCCCAAAGTGGAAAGGCTGCCGCCATCTATGAGCGACGGCGGCAAACATATACGCGGTTTGCCGCCGTCGCTCATAGATGGCGGTATGTGTCCAGAGTTCGGTGTCGCAAGTGGGCTCATTTTCGTCTTCTGCGCATGAGAAAGGAAGTAGCGGTGACGTCAGAACGCCGAGCCCTAATTGGCTGATCGCGACCCCCCTATCTGAGTGTCGTCTGCTCCTTTGTAACGTCGTCTGCTCGCAACGTCGTCAGCATCTGTCTTACCTTTCCTGCGACTTTCGGAAATTACGAGCGAGCTCGACTTCACCTTTCAGAGAGGGCAGACGAAATAACTCGAGCGGTACGTTGTTTTTGTCTAACAACTAGCAGACGTGCATCAAGGAGGGAAGTCAAAGGACTCACTGGCGAGGTGTCCCGAGGCGCCGAGGTTTGTTTGAAGAACCGAGAGTGAGCGTGTTAGTGTACGCAAGTTCCCTCCCAAATACTTTTTCCCTCCTTTCGTGTGCGGCGAGACCCCTCATTCTTTAACGGCGTCGGCGGGTTGGCGCAGTTAACGTCGTCTGCTTTACGTCTGCTAGTCAAAGCGATGGCTGCTTTACGTTTCCTGCGTCTGTCGGAGATTCACCGCTTTTTCACCGGCGAGAGTCACCGTTGCCTCGGGAAACAAGGACATAACAAGAGGAAGAAATTGACCTCTTAATCTAAAACTGAGGTCAGCGATCAAAGTATAATACGGGAAGGGTTCACAAGGGTCGCGCGGGCATATTCTATTCAGCACGCCAGCCGGTCGTGGGCAGACGGTCGCCGAGTCACGGAGTGCCTGCTAGGCCTAACTGCCGTGCTCGCTTGGTCGCGTTCGGTGGAATCATGGCCGTTGGAGCTTATCCCGGGTGTTTGTGGATCCAGCGTTCTTGTTCGTCGTGGTCTGTTGCAAGTACTTTTTACTTTTTTCTTGCTGCTTGAAGTCGGGACGCGAGAGAAGCGCACGTAAAAAAATAAACGTCCGTGGGTCGTCGCGACCGCGACGCTGTCGGCCATGCTGAGTTGTTCGTAAGAAGTGCGTAAGACAGCTTTGGAGCTGTCGTAGGATTTCGTCGTAACCTGCGCAAAACTTACGAAAATTTCGTTTCGTGAATACGAATTTGCTATCACGTTTTGTCTTACGCACATTTTTGGCGTAAGATCGTTTCGTGAATCTAGCCTCTGCACTTCCGAAAGTAGCAGGGAAGGTAAGACAGACGCAGACGACGTTGCGAGCAGACGACGTTGCAAAGGAGCAGACGACGCTCAGATAAGGGGGCCCCATCAGCCAATCAGGGCTCGGCGTTCTGACGTCACCGCTACCCCCTGCGCGAGAAGCAGACGAACTTGCCCTCCGCATATTTTTTTGCGGGGGACACGATCCTGGGGAAACTAGCCTTTAACAGCTCCGCTGTAAAAAATTAGGTTTGCTAAGAATACTTTTTTTTTTTTTTTTTCTGCGGGGGACAGGGGGGGGGGGGGGGGGGGGGGGGGCTCTTTCGGCAACGTTCTTAAAAGAACACCCAGTAAGTTCGTGAAGTTCTTATCTGAAACAAAGAAAAAACAAATTGAGTGTATATCTGTTGGCGGCGGCCAAAACTGATCCTAAAGAGATCGCGGTAGTGGTTAATCAGTGCTTTCCGTCTGTTTTCAGTGTTCATAGGAAAACGCCAGACAATGAAGTGAGTGAGGCGCGCGCTCGCTGATAGGAGATCTCTGTTTGAGTCAGGAGGGTATCTTTAACCTTTTGCTTTATCTGGATATTAAAAAAGCAAGTGGGCCATATAATATACCATCGGCGTTTATGTCCGTTACTCGTAAATTATTTTTGATCTGTCATTGCGAAGAAGGACCTCAGACTGGCGTTGTTCACGCGTTGTGCCGGTTTTGAAAGGTGGGGATGCACAAAGTGTGAGCAATTATAGGCCAATATCCCTTACTTCCGTTAGCTCTAAAATGCTTGAGCATATTATTAGCAAACATATTACGGACTATTTAGAAACCAATAATGTGGTTACAAGTGCACAGCATACCTCGGTGTGACAATTGCTAAAACTTGAGTTAGGATCGCTCACATTTCCAATGTGTGCTCCACAACACTCAAGACTCAGTGGTCTCTAAGAAGAAAGCTACCATTCGCCCCGCTCTGTTAAACTTTGCGCTTATAAAACATTAAAAAAGGCCACATTTAGAGCACGTGTGCGTGCTTTGGGACCCATACACACAGAGGAATACCAAACTAGAAAAAAAATACAAACACTAGCAGCAAGATTTATTTGCAATAGATTCCGGCGATTAGACAGTCCATCACAAATGTTAGACACACTTCATTTAGATTATCATTTACGTCGAAAACACACGAGGTTTAGGTTGTTATACTTATTTCACCATGGACACCTGAAGGTTGAAGTTCCCCCCTACTTAACACCGGTTTTACGTCATGACACGAGATTCAAACCGCGGTATATTACTGGAACCATACCGCATTTTCAAGAACTAATTTTTTTCCAAAAACAATAACTGATTGGAAATGACTCCCTAAAGTATCGTCGACAGCTCATCGCCGGATGACTTTCCTGTACAGCTACGAGCTTTACGAGCATGCCGGTTTTATATGAATTTTTTTCTTAATTTTTTGTGCTAGTGTTGTTTCATTGTTTTAAAGTTTTCCCTTTTTCAATATGTCCTGTACTATGTATTATACGTCGAGGCGCTCCTTGCCACCGCAGCAATCACCGGTAATAGCGGTAATGGCAAGAAGTTTGTCGTCCTTGCTGTCAGAAGAGCTGGGGATTTCATCGAGTGCCGCTCCAAGGCACATTCGTTTTCGCAATGTCGCCAACTCAATCGACTGCGCGTCTGCTATTCCCGCCATCTCCTCGATTCCCGCTCCTGGCCGCAATACGGTTGTCAGTGTTACTTTGAATACACTCACCTACTCTGGCAAATGTTGCCTCAAAAAGGATGGATTTAGCAGTCCAGGGTCGTAACCAGTTTGAGAGCTTATGGACTTTACATTCTTCCCTCCCCCTCAAATGTAGTCAACCTTGTGTGGATAGCCCCCTGACGAACTCATGAAGATTCCAGACATTCCAGTTCACTCTCCTTCTCAAAAGAATCCCTGGCTACTTGATTGCAACAGTCGCATGCCACTTTAAGCATCTCCTGTCCAAAAAAAACAAGCACAATTTTAAATAATGTTTAATATAAAAATAGCTTAAAAGCTTACAGCACAACCATAGCGGAACTGGAACAGAGTGAATGCTTCCTGTCAAGAAACAGGAAAGGAGATGAGCAGAACACAGGAAAAGCATGTCTCGGGAATCCCTGCAGCACTATGGGGGTATTCCACCGATTTTTGAGCTACCTCAACTAACTATATTTTCTGACTCCCCGGCCTTTACCCTTTCTGGTATGCTATTTAGTATCGTGAAATTCATAATAGTTATTGCGAAATCGGCAAATGAAAATGATGCAAAAACAAACATTCAAATATTTCAGGGCCGTGACGTCAGTGGAAGGTAAGCTTACCAGTCGGGCGAGCAGTCTAAAAAATAGAATATGCCAATCATTTGTTCCGTGCTGGAGCACGGGGACTGGAGCGAGCTTCCAAAGCATTCATTTGACACCATGAAACTGCTTCGAATCAGCTGGGAACAAATTCTAGAGTCCAAAGAGTGAACCCCTGCACTTCCACTGAGGTCACTTTTTCATTGTTGCCAGTAGAGACTTTCAGTTTGAAAAACACGGTGAGGACCAAAATTGTAAATTCAATAACTTCGTGAATAAAAATTATTTTGACCTAATATTTGGGATACTATTTTGGCAATGTTGTTCGGCGAGTTTAGCAAAATTTCAAGCAAATCGGGGACCATGAAGAAATCGGCGGAGTACCCCTTTAAAGGTATGAGTGTAAATACATGCACACATTCCTGGCATTCTATTGCCGCTGCCTCTTTTGCACATCATACTGTATATTAATCAATATACAAAAAGGGAAAGCACTTTATTGGTGGGTATGTGAAGATGTATCTCAAAGATGTCTTGCAACATTTTGAAAATTTTACAAAATTTGTCAAGTCAGTGGGAGTATAAACGACGACAAGCAAGCGCTGACTAATTTGAATATTCATCGCCGTTTTAATTCAAAGTTTGTGCAGGCTTTGCGAAGAGTATATCCCATACGAGACTGCACCAAACATTCTCCGTATGACCCAACCCCAGACAAAGCTTTCATAGGTGGCCTTAAAATGTTGTGTTTTTGGCTTATAGGTGCTTGCTTGCTATTGTTCTTTTTTATTAATATACCTACTTTTATTAAAAAAGAAAAGAAATGGCCGTGATTAGATATTTGGTATAGAGCATTTAAAAGAACATTCTCTTCCTTATTCAGAGAGGGACATGCAATACAGTGTATAACACAAAATATAACAAAGGGCCTGATTGAAACTGGCAGCACAAACGCTGATAATAAGAGTCGACTCAATGCCTCACGATGCCGATATAATAAATGGTGACTGTACAAGTTGAATGTCCTCAAAGATAATCAAAACGGCGGCAAAAAGAGAAAGACAATCAAAGAAGTCAGGTTGTGAGAAATCATGGTGTAATTAAATACAATGTTGCTGTGCTTATTGCATTGGAGTGAATGTACAACTTCTCTGAAAGCGAAAATAGCGGTAGTTAGTCCATACAACAGCGGGAAAAGCCCTTCGAGACTAACGTCGACCAAAAAAATAAAAAAAAAAACGTCGAGCTATAAAATCATTTGAAGATTGCAAGTCACTCGCACCTCACAGAACACTCAACCAAGTTGACATCATTCAGATAACTTCATTTCGGCATTCCTCCCTTCGATGTTTGATATGTCATTGCGAGCCGCACGAGAGATTATGCTCCCAAACAAGAGAAAGGAGCCCGTAAAGCAAACTAGAGTTAAATACGACCAGAAGATTCCAGGTGAAAGTGGGAGTGGGCTTCCAAATATGGGCCCCAGTTCCCCACAAGAATTATGTGGTCCTCACCTTCGCAATAAACTCTTTGTTTTTGTGGCAAAGGCTGAAAAAACGTCAGTCAACCTCCATCAAAGAGCGCAGTTAAAGAACAAATCATTCCAAAGTCAAAGTAAGTCAGAGGTAAAAAAAGAAAACAAACAAAGAAAAATATCAACGAAGAAAACGCGATCCATGCATTTCGCTCGTTGCCAGACGGCTAGCAGTCGGTGGAGCCTTCGCGCACCCAACGCCGTAAAGACGGGCACGACGAAACAGCCTAAACGCCGACCCGCAACACGTAACGAGGCTACAAACATTCCACTCTTTGCGCCCCCTCCGCAGTTTATGTTCTCCGCACACTTCTCGGGAAGGGCGTCGAATCCCGCGGCCCCGCACTTGCACACACACATACACACGTCCGCGTTGGCGCGCACGAGCACTAGAGAGTCGTTGAGGTCACGGGAGAAATTCCGTGCACGAGCATGGTCGGCGGCAGTCCCGATGTAAGGAGCTCCAACTGGTCGAGGTAGGCAAGCCGCTGGCTGTAGTCCCCGGCAGCTCCAGGCGGAGGCGGTGGAGGGGGCAGGTAGAGGAACAGCACGGCAGTGGTCTGGCTGTGCTGCTTGATCATCGCGTTGACGGCGCGCAAGTAGTCGTCCCGTGGACCGTCCTTGTCCAGCAGCCCTGCCACGTGGTCCCAGAGCACCACGCTGATGGTGGCCTCGATGCGCAGCAGCTGCAGCATACCCTCCCAGTGTCGTCGGTGCCGTGCCACCTCCTCCCCGCCGTCCCCGCCGGCGCCGCACGCGCCCACGCACATGAAGATGCGCAGCGTGGTGGCGTGCTTCCAGCCGGGTACCATGTGCAGGATGCAGGCCAGCTGCATGGTGAAGAGCCAGCAGTTGTCGATGTTGCCGGGGCTACCCTCCTCGGGGCACAGGAAGTTGACGGGCCAGACGTCAATGAAGAGCCGCCGCGGGGAGCGCACCACCGCCGCCTTGTCCAGGTGCTGGAAGTGGCGTGCCAGGCACACATTCTTCTGCATCCAGAACATGCAGTCATATACCATGGCCACGTACTCGGCGGGGCCCAGGCCCCGCTGCCGGCTCGAGTCGTCTCGCAGGCCCAGGAACTCTTCTTCGCGGACCTGCCATAAAGGAGATGCACAATTTAACGAGCGTTCCAAATCTGAAATGATCTTTGGAACAAAGACCAGCCAGGAATAGCGAAGAACGAGATGCAAACAAGGCTAAAGCACGCTCAATTTAGTCGAAAAAAAAAACCGCTCGTTCCGAGAAATTCCTTTGATCGGCAAGGATTCCAGCGACTGTGCTCACCTTGGCAGTACGTAGGTCCTTGAAGGAGCTGTTCTGATCGAAAAAATCAGTGGGCTGGCTCTCGTCGTAGAAGCCAAACAGGATGGTGTTGGGCTTCATGGCGCCTAGGCCAGACACCCGCACCAGGTGGTGGAGCCCATCCAGGACAGACTGGGCCATTGTCACCTCCACAAAGGCCTTCACCTGCGGCCAGAATCCCACGTTATCACCCGTCAGCACTGTAGCGAGAAGGCGCCAACAAAGCAGCCGCTTTAACTTTGGTTCGAGACAGCCATGATTTCTCACGCCTACGAAATGCCCCGAAGGCTTTCCATTTGAGCATGCAGCAGGCACAAACTCTAAGGTGTATTAGTAGCAATGGCATTCGTGTAAAAAATTTTAACAAAACCTTCAGCCACTTTTTGAAAAAAAAAAAATAGACCTCGTACAGCTCACCGGTAGTAGATGCATTTCAGGACTATCTGGACGTGAGCATGTCAGAAGAGGGAAACTTGTATGCAAGTGAATCTAGCAAGCAGTGCTAAAACATTTGTAGCTCCACTCACAACATACAATTGGCCAGTTGTAAAAATCCCATTAAGCCACCCACCGAATCATGGCAACGTCCTGTACAATCCTCCTTCCTCCCACAGTATTTATTATGTGTCACTGAAGCGAGAGAGACAGAGCGTAGCGCTATGGCCGTACCTGCGCTCGGACACTCGCCTGCATTGCCTCCATCATCTGCTACAGCCAGTTTTACACAGCCAGTTCCCAGAATTCAGTTTAGCAACACAAAGGGCACTGCACATTTTGCAACAGATCTACTGCATCTAGCTTCTCTAATGTATGGTACACCAAACCTCTGCTCGGCCGACTGGTGCAATCCACAACAAACATCCTTAACACTTTTGTTTCCATTCACTAATAATTTGTTCTCCGAAGGACTAAGCAGAAGGTACACTAACAAAATGCGGAATAGTTGCATGTACCCCACGCAAAGGCTACACAACCCCTCCTTGGTGAACTTAGCAGCATCAATGGCCCAAATCACCAAAGGGGTCCTCTCAGCGTGAGGCCCCCCTTACCTTGAGCCTGTCGAGCAGGGCGAGCCAAAAGGGGTACTCTTCCAGGACAGGGTCGGACACGAACTCCTCAGGCGTGCCGACCTTGACGTGGCCAAGCACGTACAGGCCGCTCTTTTTCAGGTCGTTGGCAAACAGGATCAGGGGCAGTGAGGAGCGCGGGTTGGCGACCATCAGCAGGAACTGGGGGCGCCAGTACTTCACGTGGTCCTTGCGGCTGTCCAGCAGCAGTAGGTACTTGCGCACCTGCGCACAAGAGATGGGGTTTGGCACAAGGCTTGGGAGGTGGGTTCCCAAACTGGGTTTCTAAGAATCGAGGGGAGTACTCTCAAAGGTTTTCTCGAGTAGCCTCAGGGGTTCCCTGGAGCACCCTGAAGGGGTTCCCTGGAGCACCCCAATTTTCTCAGTAACCACTCCTGCCCCTATGTGAAGTGTTCTTTCATTTAAAGACTATATCTCAGAAGACTTGTGCCATCCATTGATGCATAACTACGAGCAGAACACTTCAAAGTATGTGCATTATTGCTTGCAAGGTCCACACGCTTCAATACTACTTTACTGCACCAACACTGACGGTGAAACGTTTAAAAGCCCCTGGAAGCCTTAGGAAATGCAGAAAGAATGCCGTTTGTGACAACCAAAGAATTACATGCGCACAAATAAGACCTCGAGGATAAAATCGAATATGAATTGAATAGTCATACTGTACGTCTGGAATCACTATACTCGAAGCACAGTGCAGAGAATGTCCAGTGTGGTGCACCTCACCTGGTGAAAGATGAGCGCCTGACTGATGGAGCCCCAGCGGACGGGAGGCGACCGCAGGTGCAGCACGATGACCAGCACCAGGCAGACGATGATGGCAATGGCCGCGTACAGGGGGCTCACCACAAACATCATGGTGCCGCAGCCGAGCAGGCCCAGCAGCGAAGTGTGCCACGAGAAGTACTTGAACGACGGCCTGCATGCACAAAGGGGCCAGCCTGATTCTAATTCATCCCGGTGGTGGAAAGAGTGTGCGGCAATGTTTCCCCAGTTCATGACACAATTTGTGTAGTGCTGGACAACGCTCACTTCCATTCTGCTTGAACCGGTTAGTATTGTCGTGAATGACAAACGACAAGGCGAGAAGAAACTGAAACACTGACAATGAACTTAATGGTGCAGCACACTACTGCTACTTTTACAGAGACTGGAGCGTCGTGAGCATTTTAGATGAGAGAACACAGGGTAAGTGTCAAGTCTTAACTGGAACATTCCAGAATAACGGTTAAGAGTTGAGTATGTTGGTACATAGTTGTAAACATATCACCTTGAACTTTAGAACTACTTAAACACAAAGAAAGAAGGGACAGGAGAGGACAGACAGCTAACCACCAACGGTGTTTCAGTGTAAGCTTCTTTCTTGTGCATTTGCTTCTACATTCAGATGTATAAGCATGTAGATGTAGAAGAGGAAGAAGTACCGTAGAATACCGCGCATCGGCCCCCCCCCCCCCCCCCCATTCCACATTAAGCACCGATTACCAAATTTGTGATATCTGAGAAAATACGCACAGTACATTTATATGTAAAATTGATGACCGGACAAGCACCCATCCCCCATTTTTTTACAATTATCTCCAAAGTTTCACTGGGCGCTTGCCCGGCATTTTACAGTAGGATGTGTCTTTGTGTGTACGTATAGTTCCAAAGTTCAAGCTGATTTATTAACAAACATTCCAGAGTGGTAACAATAGGTAATAGGAATACTAACCATTCATAATCATTCACCAAACACGCATAGCTTTGTCGGCTACCCAGAATTCAATGATGCTAGAACAGTTAGTTAAACATGTCTTTGATGTCATAGACAACCATACCCGAATAACAAATGTGTTGCTCGGTGCAAAGTTTCGTTAAAATCTGTTTTGGCTGAAAAGAGGGGGCTAAACTTACCGAAAGTTTGGAGCGGACGCCAAATCAAGAGCAAGGCAGGCCAGGTTGGTGGACAGGTAGGAGAGGAGAAAGAATACTGATGTCACCTGGGCTATGGTGTTGAGGCTGCCAATGAACAAGATCAGCTGCAGGTAGAAAAAAAATGTTAACGCTTCAACAAAATGTTTTCACAAAAGAACACAGATGTGCAACACCACGCTCCTCATTATAATAATAATAGTACCTTTATTCTTTCCAACAAAGACAATGTTGAAAAGGTGACAAAAAAAAAAAAAAGCTATGAAAAATAGCTTGATGAGCCCCAAGCCAACTAAACCAGCAGTCGTGATGCAGGCACCAAAAGGAATTATACAAAACTAAAAGATGACATGTGCAATACATAAATAAAAAAATTACAAACGAGAACTAACAATATACAAGAGAAGTACCATATTGACGCAATTTACAAAATAGTAAAAGCATATACAGAAAGTTAGAACGTCACTGGAATAAACGCAAAAGAAGACATCATCTCAACAGAATTTAGCGCTTATCGCAGACAATTTGGCTTGAAATAAACATTTACCATCAGGTGCTCACCAATAGATTGCTAAGCTTCATACCTGCCAACTAATCTGGTTAAGAGTAGTCGGCAAAGTATATTCCATACTTTGGTAGCCGTAATTTGTTCTAAAAAAGGGTACTTCCCAAGGTTCTTCAATTCAAGTTATCTATCTATAAATATTATGCGATAACTTCACCAAGTTTTTAAAGTTATGGTGGGGCAAATTTGTTAATATGTTATATCCTGCACATAAACAATATTTATATAAACCAAAAAGTTTCATCACACCAAGCTGACTAAAAAGATAATTGGATGTTCTAGGGACACATTAGAAATGTTTCTTAATACATTTTTTGTAACAAATATTTTTAGAGGCTGGTATAGGTAGTAGTGCTCCACACAAGTTAACCATAATTTAAATGTGAAAAAAAAAGAAAAAAAAAGAATTATATAATATTAACTTTGTTCTATATGGTAAGATGTGTTTATGACGATATAGAATACCGACGATGCTAGATAATTTCGATACGATATGATTAATATGGTCGTCCCATGACATGTTTTCTTGAAAAATAACGCCCAAAGTTTTAAACGTGGGAACGATTTCAATTTGAGAAGAATTTATCAAAATATCCTCGGTAATATCGTTATGTTTATTCTTCGGTCGGAATATAACTGCCTTTGTCTTATTGGTGCTTATTTTTAATGCATTATGTTTACACCCATCTGTCAAGCTTTTCTAGTCTTTCATTTGCGTCATCAATAAGCTCCAACGCGTCATCACCATCAAACAATAAGATCAAACATCTGAATAAATAAAAAAACTAGTTGATTGACTGATATTTATGATGTCAGTTATATATATATATATATATATATATTGAGTAAAGAACACCTGATAATGCTTCCCTGGGGGACCCCCGATTCAATCGGTTTTGCTTCAGATGAGTGGCCATTTATATAAGCACTCAACACGGGAATAACTTTGATGGTAGAAGTGCAAGCTTAAAAGAGCTAGGACACACCTATAAAACTCAATCATTTTCTCAAGCAAAGCCTTACAGGGTACAAAATAACATCCAGTCAATTTTTACTACAGAGACACAAAGTCAAACCGAAACAAGTGGGCAAGCACAAAGTAATGCAACATCAGACTCCAGAAGTAGCGTCTTTCACTCCACGCAACTATGGGTTTCAACTTCTGTTTCTAATCAACATATTTTCACTGTACTAGTAATCATAAACACCAAGATCTTTACCTTTATCCTTTTTAATAATGCAGACGTGCCTCAGGAAGCCCGGAACTTAGATACTATCACGAATGATAAACGAATGTAAAACTGAGAATAAATGTTTAATGGGGCAAGCTTAGGCCCACAATCTTAAAGAAAAGTACCAAGCATCTGCAACAAAAGGGCGACTGTCTCAAAGCAGATGAGAGTATTGTACAAGGGAAGGCAAAGGAAGTGTTTCAAAGCCTTAGCTTTGGATGTCACCTTTGGTCCCAAAGCAGCGCGCGTTGCAGCTGCCTTTATAGATGCGGTGCGTTCAGGAATGTTAAAGAACAGAACACTTGATGACAGTCAAAAAGGGGCTGGGGCTTTCTCAAAAAAGTCCAGAATTACAAAAGAAAGATTGGGGTTGAGCGGCGTTCAAACACCGTTCCTCAACATGGCAGTCACACGCATTGCCAAATTCGCCACGCGAGCAGCGATGGTCAGGGTTCTCCCATCACTGCAAAAAATGCAAGAGACTGAGCAAAAAAAAAAAAAGGGGGGGGGGGGGGGGGGGGATGGTTCCGAGCATTTGATTCTGAAATGGCAGTTTTTGTGCAGAAAAGCTTGATTTTGACTTGAAAATACTTTTTGTTGCAAGTTGGGCCCTGTCAAACTTCAGTACACATTGAGACGTGTACAAAATTTTGTGAGGGTCCCTTTAAACTTTTCACGACTCCTGGCCATTCACAAATATTGGACCGTTTGCAGTTGGCACTGTTCTGTTCCACTCATAGAAGCGTGCTTGTCTCATAGATTTAAAGAGGCAGTCAAGAGATCAGCAAACAACTATGCAATAATTCCCGCCCCCCCCCCCTAAAAAAAAAACATGCTCTCATTAGCAACATTTATGCGAATCTCTGCAAAACATTACGGCACCAAGTTGCAGAGTCACATGATGCAATGTGACAAGACAGATTTGGCTGACGACAGCTCGGCGCAGCGACACGAAACAAATCCCAAGATTACTTCAGCTAAATATGCATTCTGTATGAATAAAATGTTTACATGCAGTTCCAACATGCCAGCACAAGAGCAAAAAGGTGGCTCACCTGAACAAGGAACCAGGACGTAAACACAGCTGCCAGGGGATTGTTCTTGTAGGTCAGCAGGCTCACAGGACGGAGGACCATGCCTGTGGAGATGGGAGGGCCTCTAATGTTTGGGCTGTCCCGCACAAAAAAATGCCTTCGATGTGCCGCAAGCAGTTCTATGTGTCACATTTCACAAAACCATTCCACTGTACGATTTGAGGAAATAGACTTTGCGACGCAAAAAAAAAACCAGTGCAGTTCAAGGCATGCTTTGATTTAATAATTTATGCCCTGGACTGTCTTTGCAAAATAAATTATGATCTGAAAATATTTTCTCTGAAATTTCATTAGGCATATAAGAAAAGTAAGAAAGGATGCTGCAAAAAAAAAAAAAACATTGAAAGAATATTAATAATAATTATTGTAATATACTTTATATCTTGATGTTGCAAGACGACCAATCTTTACAAGATGCACATTTAAAATCAACAAGAAATATATTGGAACAATATGGCCATATTTTTTAACTCACAGTGAAGAGACATACTAGATGTGAAAGCCATGCAAAGGATGAAACTTCAAAAGAAAATGTCATATGGGTTAATATTACAGTACTGGCAGCTGCAGGGCTACGATTAAGGAATAATTCCCACAAGGTTTTACTTTCTAAATATAACCAGAGCACAAGAAACTTGGTATATGAAACTGCCACACAGGTCAATTTGTTATAGTTCCAGTCTAGTGAATTCTTTGCAAAACTGACTCCTCAAGGATGATAACTGTATTATGCAACTTAGAGAGAGGATAAGAATGAACTTCACAACTTCTCACGCAATTTCAACAAATCTGGCACTCCTCTGAAAGGCATTACTGTCATCCGAAATACAATAGACCATTTGCTGAATTCCCAAGCGCACCGGCTCGCACTCGAGGGATCATGGGAACAGTGTTCCTTCAGCTGCCTAGTAATCGGTAATTTTGATCAATTCCACGGTTACACCGTTTTGTGCGTAATTCAAAGTCACCCTGATCAAGCGCCTTATACAGCCCAAGGACCTGTTATATAATTTTTTTAAATTTCTCATCAATGTCAGCATTTCTTATATTGATCATGCGATTCACCTTTTAACCTGCCTGAGCTGCAGAAATCTCTTACTATATTATCATTCTTGTGATTAATGTTTCAGCAGGAATTGCTTAAAAAGCCGAGAATTCCCAACAACAAAAACCAGGATTTAGCTCGGAGTCAGCGGGGCTGTTTATAGCATTTTTAGTGTTTCTAACCTAATATCAGCGTCTTTGAAGCTGTAAGAGAATGATAATAATGTAAAAGATTTCTGGAGCCACGTTGAAGGGTCGACAGCATGCACAGTATCGAAAACGGACACTGACGAGAAATTTTAAAAGTGATATGACAGGTCCTTGGGAATTCTACGACGCTTGTTTAGAGTGACTCCGAATTACACCCCAAATTATGTAACCATGGATGGGGTCGAAATTACCGATCACTAGGTAGCTGAAGGAACACCGTACCCATGGTTCCTAGAGTGTTGGCCAGGGCGCTTGGGGGATTCAGTAAATGGTCTATTGTATACCTTGAGAAGAAACAAACAATAAATAATTTTTTAATTATTTATTGTTTAATTATGACCGGTCGCTTTACAAGAATACATACACAGGATTTTGCTTGTTGGATGCCTCTGAAGTAACGAGAAAATTATGACAGAATGCTGCTTCGCATGTCAAATACAATCGGACAGCAGCCTCAGGGAATGGCACTCCTGATCATATAAAAGTAAATTTTATAAAAAAGAAAAGCAGTTGAGTTTAGCTATAATTGGCAGGTTATAAGTAAGATATAACAACCAGTTTCAAAAACATTGCCAGTTTATTCTAGGAACCTGATTAATTGTGACTTAACTCACATAAATTATTATGAAAAAATAGCAAACAAAACAAACAACTCGAAGCAATCATTTTCATTAAAAATTTTGAAAAATATTATGACTCTCGGCAGGTTATTCTTAATCAAATAACTTTATAGCTTTGTCAAACAAGGGTGAGATTCAGAAATGCTGCTTCCCGAATACTACAGCAGTACAGGTCATTACTAATTTTCAAGATTCAATTTATCACTCCAGCCCTGAGTTGCAGCCACAGTTTGTAACTTAGAAAAGTTCCTAGTCAACACAATCACAAAACAGCTGCGTGGCAACATGAGTGGGCACAACAAAGTTCAATCTTGAACGGTCAAAACAAACTACCACTATTACCAGTTATTGAACTTCAGCAGTCCGCTTTGTAGCTTAGCACAACGGAGGAACCCCACGCGGCATTTTACCCCGTCAGTGGGTGCTCGGCTGCTCGAGCCTATATTGTCGTCTACAGCGTTTCGCTCGTGCAGTGCCCCGAGACACTGACCACAAACCGAGCACAGAGGGTACCCACCAAAGAGCTCGTCCTTGCCCAAGGCCTCGAGGACCCTGGAGGCCCCGATGAGGTTGCTCAGCGACGCCGACAGGGTGGCAAAGAAGATGCCAATGGCCACAAAGGGGGGCCACAGGTCAATGTACTGCATGTACAGCACATTGTTCTGCAGCAGCATCCTGCAAGCACGCAGGTCGGTCAGGAGGACGTAGGAGACCACGTGGTCATGTATACCACCTCGGTAGCGACTCCACGCTATGTTTGCAAGGGCCAGTTTGCTTGCACCAAAAGTGAAAGTGGAGACAGCCAGAAGCAGGTTGCCAGAAAAGCAGGCAAGACAGTGGTGTGGCAAGTCGAATGACAGTTAACCGACAGTTTCACAGTTCAATTCCACCATTGGACAGACTAGAGGTGTCGCCCTCAGTTTGTTCTTCACTTTACCAATTTGCTAACGCGTTTGTTAGCACTTTCACTATTGGTTCAATTTGTGACTGTCCTGTTGCTTGTTATTGACAGGTCCAATGTCGCAGTGGCAGCCAGAAAATATTTACAATATGCCAGCAAATCAGGGTGTAATAATAATATTTTAAGAAAAGTGGAGATAAACTTTTAGCCTTTCCACTCTGGTGAAGAAGGAAGACCAGCGAAGCTGTAGTATGGTGGGAATGAAGTAATGGCCGGCCGCAAGTCGGCAAGCCAGAGTGGAAAGGCTGAAAAGGTTGCTGCCATCTATAAGCGACAGCGGCAACCAGACAACCGGCTAGCCGGTTGTCTGGTTGCTAATAGATGGCAGTAGCTGTCCAGAGTTTTGTGTCGAGATTTGTTTGCCCACGGACACGATACTGGGGAAACTAGCCCTTAACAGTTCCGCTGTAAAAAAAACAAAAAACAAGATGTGGTCCTAGTTCCACCTGCATCGCACAGCTTGCACATACAGTGCGATCTTACTTATAACGATACCACATATAACAATGTACCACTTATTACGGTAGTTTCTAGAGTTTCTAGACTGGAAATGATAAGTTTCTAGTCCAGATACAATGATAATCGGTTATAACGACTGAAATTTCGGGTTTTCTAATTATCATTATAAGTAAGGTGCACTGTATACCCCCCACTCACTTTCCACCTCCAAACTAGAGTACTTGTGACCATGGCACCATCTGTGGAGTGCAATGGCAACTAACAAACCAGATGTGCTGAAAAAACTACAATCCTTCTGTACGCATGCAAAGACAACTTCCCTTTCCCGAATTCGCAAGGTCTTCAGACCGCTTTTTCACGCTTACAGATTACAATGCAGACTTATAAATTCATTAATAAATTGAAAATTTGTTCGATCTGGTCTAAAAACAGACACGCAGCTTGCATTATGTCGATGATGCCCAACACTTTTGCTGGCACTTTTCAATAGTGCTATCATGCAGCGCAGCAAGAACACCAGGATTTGCTCGAGCCGTCTCTGCTCCAACGAGTTTGGGGAGTGAACAATGGTCCTCGTGTTGCCCTCGTAAAGCTTTTCAATATTCTTCCGACGCCGGTATAGGCCAAAACAATAGTGAATCCCGTCCAGCCCCAAGCCCTGCATCGCGCACAAATAAAGGTATGCCTTCAGGTTTGTCAGGAACTACTATGCAGAGCTCTTCACACTCGAATGTGGACAGCTTTCTTGCGAAGAAGGCATCGGCACAAGTAGACCCAGGGAGCAATGACGGCACCAATGTTGGCACGAACCTCGAGCAAGTGCCGGCGGTGAGGAACATGAGCACCACGTAGGTGATGAAGGTGAACCCCACTGCCGACAGGGTTCCTCGGGGAATGGCTCTAGCAGGGTCCTTTAGTTCACCTTGGAAAGAGACAAAGTCTCCTTCAGTTGACACAAACAAGTAGGTACACATGCTTAAAGAAGAACGACAATGTCGGGGTAAAGAGAAACTTTTTCTTGTTTTCGCTGTCAGAGAAGAACTATTCATTCTCCTCAACAAATATGTTGCTGAAATTATGAAAGCTAAATCAACTTTTCTCTAGCGCCAGTTTCTCTCGAACTAATATTATTCAAATCTTTGGTTCGCTCAAAATTAGAGTATGCGGCTTTAATCTGGGATCCTGGTCAGACGACGCTCACTTCTCATCTCGAGTCAGTTCAGAACCGCGGCGCTCGTTTCATACTTAATAATTATCACCGGACAGCTAGTCTATCATCCATGAAATCTCTTCTCTCCTTGCCACTGCTTTCTTTGCACCATAAGTGTTCTCATCTATGTCTTTTCTATAAAATATACAATTCTAACCCCATTCTTAAAGAGAAGCTCTACCTCGTCCCACCTTACGTTTCTCCACGCATTGATCATCAGTACAAAGTAGGCGTTCCTCATTCTCGAACCTCAGCCAATCACGATTCTTTCATTCCTAGGACATCACCAGAGTGGAACCACCTTCCGGCGTCATTAATATTATTACCCTCGTTAGATGTGTTTAAAAGTGCTGTTACTAATTATTTTTGCGAAAGTGACCCGTGACTTATAATGTCTTCTATTACTGTTTGTTGTTGTTTTTTTCACTCACTCCCCTCTGTAACGCCCCCAGGGCCTTGAGGGTATGTAAATAAATAAATAAATAAAATAAATAAACTCCTTGATGTCACTTGTCGTACAAGCAAAAGGCACGTGTTGTATCGACTCACACATTTCGACCATCTTTCCAACAATGCCTTCCTACGACCAAGAAGTGTGACTGAAATGTTTTGAAAAATTTTGAGTTGACGTATTTTGTTTTATTCCCAAGCCCACATAAATATGCAATCAATCAATTAACTCTGTGCCAAATTCTCGATATCATTCCAGGCTGGGAAACAGGTAGACACTTCCCTTGTTTGTTGGATGCACTCCACTTCACTTTAAGTCCGAGCGCAGTTGGTGCTGTGATCCCATGGAGCAGACCGAGCAGTGCCAGAAGCGCATCGTCATGGTGCTCGTCGCCTTTGTAAGCTTGCCATCAGCGGGCTAAACGAATCGCGCAGAGAAAAAAGTGCAGGATTGCGGCCTATTCGCCGTGAGCAATTGGGTCAGTCCGCAAGAGCAGACGCACGATGACGACGACGCGCCGCCTAATTGGGTCCGTTGCATCGTAGCATCGGCTGCGGTCGTACTTAAAGTGAAACAGTGCGTAGTAGTCATGCTGCGGTGCTTCCACAGTCAACACTTACCAGACATGTTCGCACCAGCCATGATACCGGTGACGCCGCTGAACAGCACACCAAACACGATCGGGAATGTGGTAAGTGTGTTGGTTGTGTAGTCAATGGTGTAGTTGGCTGCAAGAGACAAGACACAACACTTACCGAGCTGGCCACAGGATACAGATCTGGCTGCATGCACTATTTGACACTAAATATGGCTCATACCAAAAGCACTGCGTAAACTATGGTACAGATTACTGTATTCCACTGCTGAAGAATGAAAAAAAGTTTATGAAGTGATTAGTAGATGAAGCCATATGGTCAGAACAGACACATATTCGGGTCTTATAAATGTGGTTTTTCCACGAGACTGCAGCTGCTATGTGGATCGCAAACGAGCCTGTGATCCACACTGCATATTAGGAGCATTGATGTAACCCTCCTTTTATAATTTACAACATGGCACAATGTCATTAGGCCACATGAACTGCTGAAACTTGAGGTGGTCACCACGGTAGTGTCCTTGAACAACTAGGGCCCGCTACATCAGCCTCATGTATGGGTTAGCATTCCAAAACTCCTACCCCATAGCACAGCTTCATCCATTAAAAAAAAAAAAAATTGTTGAGAACACTCGATCCTAAGGGGTAAGAGCCTCATAAGATAATAAAATTGTAATCTCATGAGCATGAATTCTTCATTTACGTAAGCACCTTGGCTGCCATACTGCTCCCATTATGATGCCATCAAATTCCGAGCTGAAGCAGGCCACCAGAGGCGTCGGAACTATTCAGGAGATGGAGGGGCGACGGCAATTTTGCATCCCCTCCCCGGAATTGTTTCCATGAAATGTTTGACGTGCCCGAGGGGGCCGATCGCCCCCTTGCCAATCGCCCCCTGCACCCCCTGATCCGACGCCACTGCAGGACACTGTTACTACTATAGCGATAACGGAAGACTCCAGCACCAGAAGAACTTCAGCAGCTGTGGTGGAATTAGGGTCAGTGGATTCGCATGCCGGGCACCCATCAAAGCTCCTGGACTTCTACCAACTCTCATCCTACAATGCGAGTACCAGACTGGCACCAAAAGCAATGCTATCTCGCACCGAGCTTCTTAACGGACATTTGTACGCACCTATAAGTTTCTCGGTATACATCCATTCTATGCTCTATCGCAGGGGTGGCCAGGCTGACCCGGCCTAAGAGCCGTAAACAAAACCATGAAACTTCCAAGAGCCACAAATGGGGGAGGGGGGGGGGGACAAACTTTTGTTTAGAGCGATAAACGAAACTCGAACTACTTTCAATCTATCCGAGTCAAAAGCAGTCCAACTGTACGTAAGGTGGCAGTAGCACAAGACTACCAGACCGCAACCTGCTTTCCATTAAATTAAAAACGCGTTCCATTTCTCTTCTTGGGGAAGTGCAGGTGTGACCGGGAGGGAGGTAGGGGAGCGGGAGGGGTACGGGTGGGGGGGAAGGTAGGAGAGGGAGCCGCAAGCCTCACTTTAACATGCGAAGAACCGCACGCGGCTCGCAAGCCGCAGCTTCCCCACCCCTGCTCTATCATAACGTCATGATAACTACATGGAAAGGGGAAAATTACAGGAGGCAGCACACTTCTAGTAACAGGGTGTCTAGCAAATTATAATTTTGAAATTCCCTGACTTTTCCAGGTTTTCCCTGACAATTTCAGGAGAAATTACCTTACCACAGTAGAGGCGGTTAAATATATAAGACCATTACAACACATATAAGATCATTACAGCACCATTACAACACTGTGAAGAGCATTTTGCACGGGCCTAATTCAATTTGCATATTCCGAAATATTCGGGTTCGTCCAGCCCGGATTAAACGGGCACTTTCTTGCCACCGACATCGTCAGTGAAGAGGCCACTTCCGGAAACACAATGGAAACACAACGCTCCACCACACACGTTCATAACCGAATGGCTGCACGGCCGCCAGATGCGCACTTATGGATACTTTCTGCTTAAGGCTTGAATTGGATTGGGGTCTGCGGCCTTTCCCATTTGCTACTAAATCTAGTAGCTCTAGCTGGATCTAGCCTAGTGTCATGCCCTCAATCCAATCCAATCCCAGGCTTGGACTGGATTTTCCGGCTGCTCCTTTTGCATCAGGTAGCACACACTACATAGTGTGAGCAGAGCCCGCACTCCACTCTAAGCAGAATTTATTGCCTATTTTTTCTGCCCCAAAGTCCTCAAGTCTTTGCTCAGGGCACTCAATGGCGTTTCCGGCTCATTTTCCCTGACTGGGCTCATTTTTTGACATATCCCTGACAATTTCCCGATTTTTTCCGGTAATTAAAATTTCCCTGACAATTCCCAGTTTTTCCGGTCGCTAGAGACCCTTAGTAATTTACCCACCCTCGTGACTTCCGTAAAAATTTGGTAAGCTATGGAGACCTGAGGTCACTGGAGCAGAGCAAACGTGGTACAGAGTTGTGAAACTCAGCAATGTACGAGCTTGCACTACTCAAGCTCCAATTAGGAGGCGTCAGATGTGGGAGAAAAAGAGCAGAAAGAGGCAATACACCCAAGCAGTTCTCCTGGGCATTATCCTTTCTCTTTCCATATTCTAGTGGGATCCAATGCCCACGAGGCGTTGCAACAGACAGGACAAGGCCTGTTGCAACACCCGGGATGACGGCCATTGCAACACGCGGGAATGTGCTAGAATGCAGGGGTAGCATATGCGCTACACTTTGAAGTGTGGGTACACCCATCACATTGAATCTTTCTCTTTCAAACCTTTGGTCACCATCCGAGGATACAGGTTTTACAGAAACAAAGCACCCCCTAATCATATATACAGAATGCTTTAATTTTCTAAAATATTTTATTTAAAGGACAACGAGGGGAAGCTTGCTTTTTGTTCTCACACAATTTTTCCCAATCTCTTAAGATATTACTGTAGTCAGTTGTGAAGGAAGCAAAACTGACAGTGGAAACAAAGTGTTAGCAGCTGATAACACTTTGTGACTATTCAAACTATTTTCAACAGCCTTTTTCCCACTGTCTCCCCTAACATTGCATTGTTGGAAAGTAAGAAAAACTCAATTCTCAATTTAGATTGATTTAAAGAGAGTCACATGTTTACATAACAAACTCTTGCAGGCCACTCCCAGGTGTCTACGTTTGATGCCTTACAGTCCACTGCAAGGTTTTACGGATAAACATCCGGCTGTCCCAGGGTGTCGAACCGGAACCGAACCGAAAACCGGAACCGAACCGATATTTTTTCCGGAACTGAACCCGAACCCGAACCGTTATATTGTTATCGCGATGAACCCGAACCGGAACTGAACCGGAAAAAAAATAACGGTTACCGGCTCATGTCAAAACGGTTCGGCCACGCGCTGTTGACAATGAATGTGCTATCAATGCCATTTGTTTTTTAAGTGCCGTCAACTGACACACACCTCGCTTACATATTTTTCTTCTCCACTCAGTCTTAGGAATATAAACGCTGCATCCATGAATCTTGACAAACGCTGCATCCATGAATCTTGACATAGGAACCAGTATTGCGCTGGTCGCGGCTTGCACGGAAAAAAAAAAAATTAAAAGGCTGTGCAAAAAAAAAAAAAATTGCGTCACGGGATTTTATTTTTATACAATCTCGTAAATCCTAAATGCTGCTGTGTGCTCATTTCATAACACGTTTCTAGAACGCGCGAGTTCTTGAAGCTTGCTTCCATCGGAATGAGAAAAGAAAAGGCTGTGGAGTTTGATAATAATGCATCCGGTTTCGTATAGGCACTTAGAAGCTAACATATTTGTGGGACAGCGAACTCTTCTATTTTAATATTTATCTTATTACGTCCTTCTGGCGTTGCGTTCGGTGAAGTGTTTTTCATATTCCGTATCTTGTTTAATGAAAACTTCTTTAAGGGTCTAATTCGAGTTACTGAAGGCTAGTTCAAATAAAGAAAGCTGTATTTTCTCCCCACTGTTCCTTCAATTGCTTACACGCCGAGGTGGCGGGATAGTTAGCGAGTTCTACTTGTAAGTGGGTTTGTAAGGAGGTCGCGGATTTTACAGCTACTGCGTCGGACCCAATTAGATGAAGTCCGAATGCGTAAACGTCGGTGAGGTAACCTTTGAGTGCACATAAAGAAACCATTCCTGGTAGAAATCCCTGAGCCTTACACTACAATGTATCCCGTTTCGTATGTGCTGATTTCAGATGTTTTATTTGTAATTTATTTTGATGTTGCAATTTGTCATTTATAATTTCTGAACCGGTTTGTGAACCGGTTCAGCGCCCCGAACCGGTTCGCGAACCGGTTCGCGGATCGAATTAATCGAACCGGAACTGAACCGGAACAAAATAAATTTACCTGAACCTGAACCGTAACCAAACCCATATTTTTTTCGGTTCGACACACTGGGCTGTCCACTGACATTGATACGGTTATAGATAACCAATCAGTGAGATACTATGCACACTTCCCCAGCAAACTATGACAAGTATAGTAGAAGCCCTTTGTGCTGCTGATCTTTGCAAGCATCTAGCATTAGCGACAGTCGTGCCACGAGCCTGACAATACAGCGCACCCTCGTGCTGTGCAAATCGAAGATTGCCAGCAGAACAGGCCAACGATTAGACGTGCTCAGCAGCACCACAAAATATATTCTACTTCGTAAATATCTAAATATATGATATATTAAGAATATGTGGACAATTTCACCAAACACTAGCACATTGGGCAAACAAAAGGGAGGATGCACATCAACGGTCAAATTTTGGGGTGAGAAAATAAATGAAGGTAGTGGAGAGAATGGCAGCCTTGATTTGGGGGTTCTACGTGACAAACCAGAAAAGAGCATCTGGCAGGCCCCAATGGAGGACTAAGGATTAATTTCAGCCACTTGGGGTTCCCTTGACGGGCAAGCAAAATATCAGTTACACCGTACGGTGCCTTCTCCGCAATAAGCCTCTGTCAGATTGCAGAGTTTGGCCAGGATTCAAACCCATCAACTGGGAAGAGGGGAGAACGTGCGAGCAGCTGTGCTTACACCAGATGTTGTTGGTGAAGGTGACCCAGCTGAAGCCTGTGTAGGGGGCGTGGGTGATGTTGAGGCTTTGCACGAGCTGATTCTCCTGGGGAAGCAGCACGTCAAACGGGGGCTTGGCCAGGAAGCTCACCACCACGGACAGGGCTGACACAATCACCACCCCGAAGATGACCACAGTCGTCTTGGCAAACATGGCCGCACCCACCAGGCACACAAACAGGTTCAAGAAGTTCACTCCCGTGCCGTACAGAAGGTTGTACCAGAAGCCCTCTGGTAGCAGGCGTGCCATCCCGCCTGGAGAGGCAGGCAAAGGAAAAACAAACCATCTAGAGTCACCTTATGGTCTATTTAGCTTCTCGAGCTGGCAGCACACATTGGTCTTGTACCCAAAATCACCTGCACAGTCTCATTTTAAAGAATGTGAAACTTCAAAAAGCCGAGAGGAGGTGCAGAACCTTTCATTCAATTTTAAAACCTGAATTCGAAATGCTGGGCACTCATATGAGCAATTCCCCTCTAAACTTTACAGTCTTCTCCAGAAAAATTTTGGCAGCATTTATCTCCATCTAAGGAACCTGTATCCAGAAGTTGAAAATAGTTCTTTTATAACGGACAAAAGACAGATAGAGCTATCTCTGACAAATACTTTCAGTCAGTTTTCACGAGAGACAACGGTTCGCTTCCTTGCATTTCACATTCCTGGACGCATAACTCCTGTTGCAAATGTAGACGTGAATCAGCAAAGTCTGCTTAACTTACTGCTAAAAACTGATGAAAAAAGTCACCTGGAGCCAACGGGATTTCAAATATTACTTTCGTGCAAACGTATGGCAAATGGTGTTCTCACTATCTGCTGATAGTTTTTAAACTTACTCTTATCAAAGGAATGATTCCACGAGATTGGAAATGCAGGAAGGCGATTCCGATTCATAAACAGGGCGATAAAACCAGCCTGAACAAGTATCGACCAGTATCACTCACTAGCACATGCTGCAAAACCTTAGAACAGATAATAGCTAAACACTTGATAGATTTTGTAGAAAGCAATCATTTCTCGGGCACTTATCAGTATGGGTTTAGGCAGAGCTGTTCTACAACTACGCAGCTGATAGAAGATTTTCATAACCTTAGCCGTATTGTAGATAACCGGGGACAGGCAGATGTTGTTCTTTTAGATTTCGCCAAAGCTTTTGATCATGTGTCGCATCCTAAAATGTTGCACAAATTCACTTGCATTCTAAAGAACAGGCCAATTGTACACGTATTTGAAGCACACTTGTCAGATGGGAAACAGTTTGTTTATCTTCAGGATGGAAGAAACAACTCATTACCAGTGCTATCCGGTGTTCCGCAGGGTTTGGTGCTTGGCCCGCTTCTTTTATCATATATATCAGCGACATGAGTGGTGGCAGATTCAATACCACGATAACTGTGAAGCACTTTGCAAATGACCCTATAATTTACTGTAATATCTTTTTTGCCAAGGACTGGGAAAATTTAAATAGACATCCAAGTAAAATAGAAAAATGGTGTGCTGACTGGCAAATGAAACTGAATATGAAGAAAACTGTCTACATGAATGTAACACGCAAAAAACAGTGCTTATAATTTATCTAAAATATTAAAGGCATTCTGCTGAATATAAGTAGCTCGGAGTGTACCTCAACTCCAATTTAAACTGGAATTCTCATATTGAACTTGTATGCAAAAAAAGCATTTGAAAAAATGTGGACGCTAAGAATAAAATTAGATAATGCGAGTCCAGGGGTCAAAATAATTACTGTACCTTTAAGTGTTTAATTTTACTACGCATCGACTACGCAAGTTCAGTATGGGAGCCATTAACCAGTAAGAATTTCTATACAGTTAGAAAGAATACAAAACAAAAAAGTCTTGTCTTTTTTACGACAGTCATAAGTCCACAGACTCCTTCATTAATCTCAAGTCCTGAGCAAACCTAAACAGTGTTGAGACAAGAATGACTATAAACAGGATGAAACTGTTTTTTCATGTACTTTGTGGTTACTATAAGATTAACACTTTCAAATATGTTACAATTCCTGAAGCTATACTACATAGAACAAAACACAATTTATATATTCAACCCTATTGGTACCACAGATTGTTTCAAATAATATATTTTTGTTTGCTCTACTGATCAGTAGAACACGCTTGCTGCATGTGTTGTTGATTGTAGCTATGTCATATCATTTACAATTTGAACTGCAAAGTCTATGTGAATAACCAGTATTTTTGATGCTATTTTATTTGTCACATTGATGATTTTTTTTTTTATTATATGTACCACTCTTGCAGTTAGCCTCATGACTGACAAAATCTATAAATAAAAAATAAATAAATTTTGAATGGTTGGCACGTACAACCTTGTTTCATAGTTGATTCTTGACCTATATGAGCTTGTGCCTCAGTTCCTTTTGCGAACACAACTGGTTTTCTACAAATCTGCTGGTCTTACACCTATGTTAAATATGTGCTTACATAGGTGTAATGCCACAACCGAACATTGTGGCACGTCACTTCTCCTAAACAGACCTCAAAAAGGGGCAGGCTGCAATGTTTGGTCACTTTCTAAAAAGAAAGAAAGGCAACGCATTATCTCAGTTTTGTGTTTTCTAGGATGCTTAGGGCTGAGTTTACACTCTAAAAGGACAATCTAGAAAAAAAGTTCAATGTTCCTTTAAAAGAATTATTTTATGCAGCACTTGCACTATGCTCAATGATTGCTTTTTCCTAAAGGTAACAAGTACAGTGTCCTCAATGAAAACTGTAAGACTCCTTTTTCAGGCATGCCCAATAACCTACTTCATTTATATTTTTTTTCTTCTTCTAGGTATTGTAACAAAGGTTTCCAACTTAAAAGGTGTACATTTAACGCACCTCATCTCCAAACATTCTGCAGAAACAACACTACAGACATGAAAGACAGCATGTGTTTCCAGCAATTATGAGACTGCTACTAACATCAAATTGCTAGAAACAATTGTGAAGGAGGTTAGACTTGCCAGAAGGCCCGAAGTTGTTGACGAGACCCTCCACGCATCCTGTAATGTACAGGGCACTCGAAAAGATGTTTGCGATAAAAAACAGCGTGCCGATGCTACCGCCAAACTCTGGACCCAAGGCCCTGCTGATCATGACTGGTGAGAATGAAGCGTCAAGGACAAATCCCAGGCAAACCGCGAATGATAAGCACACGATGGTTCATGAACCGAAAGATAGAAGCTCACATCTAGCATATGTGGTCTGACAGAAAGCATAATTAAATAAAATGGCTCAAGGCACCCAAGCACGGCTGCCCATTCATCACATTCAGTTAATGACCAATAGGCGAGTATGGCCATTCTGAAGGATAGCTGCTCAGACGTCCTTCAGACATCCATTCACTGAGAGAGCGACCGAGCTGCTTGGCTCGAAGGAGTGACGCAACAAGTTTTATACTTTCAGTAAGTATCACTTAGAACTATTTATTAACATCCATAGCCTGTGAAACACATACTGCTTTTTTTCTCCTTGCAATAGCAGACACAGAAAAAATTTGAGAAAAATGAGCAGTGTTCACCCCCTCAACTCGCAGCCAGAACAAGTGGCCACGTGATCTAGAGCCAAGTATATGCCGCCAGTGTTTATCATAATCACGCGCTGGGATTGGCAAAGCACAGGGTATGCGCCGAGTTCCACACATTGTTAAAGTTTACCGATTCCCGTCATTGTAGCAACTGGGCATAAGCCACTACCCGAATGCATGTCGAGACATTAAATGACACGAGCCAATATTAAATGCTCACGCAATGCTCGGGTCCACTGCATGAGCCGCATTAAATATTGTTGCTGGCGGGTCGCAAAGCTTGATGTTACAATCCTTGAGACAGCGTTGTTGGCATTGTCCCAGCAACTTCGTCATCAAGTTTTGCGAAGAAGAGATTGAAAGAAAACATCCGCTTTTATCCTTGGAATCGCACGGCAACAAGCAAGCTTCTTGGTCAGTAGCATTGCATGCGAGTATACTTGGAAGTTGGGTCCCACTAGTAACAGTAAGCTTGAGTAAAGTGAGAAACATTCCCACCCAATATCATTGCACGGCCCCTTTAAGCTATACCAATGCGGGTGCAGTAATCAGGAAATTTCGAAGCACTTGAAAGCAATGCTGTTGACCTCTCGTCCAAATGCAGCCTGCATCTTTTCAAGAACTTTCTTTGATGCGCTGCTACAGAAAACATGTTCTCAGCAGTGGATGGGTTGAGAAAGCCAGTCATCCACCACTAAAAGTGGAGAAAGCTACACTCACACTTGGAGTAAAATTAGTCAAAGTCCAATATTTCAGCCACAATCATTGGTATTTGCATCCCAAGTACCCGGATAAATCCAAAGTATCCAAGTGACCACCAGATCTGGCAATAACCAGAGTTCAAAATCAAGGTTTACCAATCATTCCTTCCTTGTATCTTAAAAGCACTGCAGGATACTTAATCATGTTCAATCATCGGGTCATTTTCATCAAGCATGTGACTGCTCTAAAGAGAGCACTCAAATCAGCACGCAAAATACTCTTTACATTTTGATTTCGTTGTCTCTGAAAAAGCAGGGACTCCCCCAGCCTATTATCAACTCTCCCCAGGGTAGTGCCATCTTATCACAATCCTCTCATGCCAACCATATCTTCAGGGTTATGCTAGAAAAGGACAAGGTTGCTTATCGATCAAGGCCTGGTTTCTCCTCTCCAGCATTGACTTTCTCTTGTCACAGTGACTGTGACCTGGCCTCTTCACTGCCTACCTATGCTAGAGAGATAAGCTATCCTAAAAGGAAGCAGTGTCCCCACAAAAGTGCAATGCCTGCCTCCCTCCCCTCCCTCCCTCCCCTCCTCCCGCCCACCTCCAGAGAGAAGACAACCGGAGACGGTCCTTTCAATGAGATAGGAAGCTTAGCGGTCAGGTTGGGGACCCATTGCGATAAGACTGTCAAGTGATAAGAGTAAGAAAACCTGCTGGCCCTCACGGGAAAGCTCTCAACTTGAAGTACATGACAACCAAAAATAGAAACGAGAATGGAGTTTGTCCACAGATGCCAATGGGCTATGTATTTCCCCTCTTGAACAATGCTAAACAAGCAGTGGTTGTCTGGAAGATGCAGCAACTTGTGTGCTGAGCAAGCAGTTAGTTTAAAGAAGTCAATAAAATGGAAGAATAAAAACATAAAAGTTATAGCAATGAGAATGCTCACGAAAGTTCATTATATTGGACAACTGGAGCTGTGCCACTATCCTGGTGATTCGCTCAAAGTTAAAAAATATAGACTAAGCAATCCGTTACTATTAACTCCATAATGCATAAAAGAAGAAAAAAAAAAGGGAGCCAAACCATAGAGTATAAGGTTAGGCAAGTTCTGATACCTTCGCAAGACCCCACCTGAACAGCAGATTGGTGCCAAAATGGGAACATACCAGAAAAGCCAGTCTTGGGAAGTACTTTTTAAAAGCATTATACATAAAGTACTGCTTCAAGCAGGTTTTGAAAACTTGTACTTTGCTTGAAGTACATTCTCTGAGCACGTACTTGTACTTTACTTAATTTTTCTGTTACTTTCCGAAAAAAGTACAATTCCAGACTTCAAAGTTAATTTCCCAAATTTGGTCTTGTTGTTGGGAAAGGCAGGGGGACAAGAGCGTTAATCTGGGCGGCGCTTTCTTGCGCTCGCTCGGTGAAATTAAAGGGGCTGCGTAACGACATTGGATAGGAACGCTTTTCACTTTACACCAGGTTACTGACACTAGTGGTATTATAAATACTCTAACGCAATGCCACCGACCCAGAAGAGTCTCTGTCGCGGTGGAATTCCAGGGATAAAAGAGCAGCTTTTCTTTCAGTCTCTCCTTCGTAAAAATTTGATGACGGGCAGCTGCGGGGACAATGACAACAATGCGATGCCCAGGAGTGCGTCATCAAGTTATGATATCCCCGCTTTGAGGATACTGAAATGCTGCTCGTACAATGGACACGAAGACTGCATAGGCATTTAATTTTGGCTTGTGATAATCAAAGCCTCGACATGCATCCGGGTGGTGGCTCGTGCCCAATCACTGCGATCATGAGAATAGCTGAACCTTAACAATGCGTGGAACTCAGCGCGAACCCTGTGTTCTGCCAACCCCAATGTGGGGCTATGTTAAAAACATTGACGGCATATAATCGGCTCCAGATTACGTGGTCGCTTTTTCTGGCTGCGAGTTGAAGGGGTAAACGGTGTTTGGTTTTCTCGGATTCCTTCTGCAACTAGCATTCTGTAGAGAAAAAAAGCAACGCGTGTTTTATAGCTCATAAATTTCAAGGAATACTTCTAGGCTGTATTTATTTAAAGTAGAAAAATTGTCGCATCACCCCTTTAACCTCTTTCAAAGGCCATGCAATCGCGTCCTTGGCTTTTCCTGTACTATACACAACTTCTGAGGTAAATGATGAAAGGTCACCAACCTCTAACAAAAAAAGTGGCGTATCGTCATGTGAAAATGCACTATCATCTCGCGAGACTTCACCTGGCCATTTCTTTGATTGAAGTAATGACGGCTATAAGACCGATACAAATAAGCGCCTTATAAGCTAATTATTAAAATAGTTTGTCAGCGGGAGCAGAACATCTACTCTGTGGCCACTTTACTTCATCAGCTAAAAAAAAATAAACTGCGTAGGGGAATGAACGAACATCATGAAAGATTGCATCAAAAAGTACATATACCTTACTTTAAAGGGGTAGGGAAAAGAAATTTCAGCGCTCATTTTCTAGCTGGAATGTGTCGCATGTTGCACCCTAACCTCAAAAACACCAGTCTTCTGTTGAAAGGCACAAGAAAACTAATTTTAAAGCTAAATAAAGAATCTTTCAATGTGCACCAGGTGGATGCATGCAGAGCCTATTTGGGAGGTAGTCTAGCAACGTTGTGGAATCTGCTATGTAGTCGTAACGTAGCAGATTCCTTCGGAGCAGCGCCGCCCTTTGGAATTTCAACATTTTCCTTCTTAGCTTTCCTCCTAGCTCAACTCACAAATCACGCATTGTACCAAACGGTCCAAAAAGACGGAAAGGAAGAACTCCCCTCTTTCTCGGACCCTCGTTCGTGCAACCGGAAACAGTCATTCTCCCCCTAGAAGATTAGCCCGCCACTCAAAACTCAAACAAAAGTAGCTTTCCCCACCTTGTTCAGCCCTAAGCTGACAGTGTTGTGGAAGCTAAGTGCTCCTTGGGCCAGCCACACGCTCGTCACCCCACGGGTACTTCGAACGGCTCAGTTGTAACGCTCTCTGATAAGGCCACCAAGGGCAAAGCTCATAACCACGCCTGCCTTGCTACTCCACGAATGCGCGAAATCTTTTCTTTCTGTTTTTGTTTGCGCCGGATATCCCATAACGCATCGCGTTCTCCGTTCGCTTCTGTTCGAGCGCTTGCTCGAGTGCACCGTTTGGAACGAGAAATATAGCCAGTCGTTCAAAAAACAAACGTGCGATTATCATTTACGGTCATTATCCGTCATGCTCGACCCATTTCTGAACTAAATTTTAATATTTCAATTTTTGTTTCCGTACCCCTTTAAAGGTAGATCATATTTATAGCACTTTACTTACAACTACATTGTGCCCAGTGCACTTACTACTTCACTTGGAAGTATATAACCCTAATTTACTTTGTACTTTATTTCAAGTACCTTTTACACATACAGTACTCGTCAAACTTATATGGAGCACTTGTGGAATATTGAATGCAGAAAGAAGATAAAATATGAGAGAACTGCGCATATTTATGTGAACTGAAGGTATGCTACGGACATAGTGGGACACAAAGAGAAATAGCTTAGGGCTAGCGCCAACTATGCACGCACACACAGGAAAAAATAAAATAGAACAAGCCAAGAAAAGGCTTAGCATGTGTTCCAGATAAGTTTGCTGAGCACTGTACTTTACACAACACTGACGAAAACTTCTATGTGAGCAAGCCCGTACAAAACTTCCAACGAAGACAGAGCAAGTTTTAAACACATCAAGTATCCCGTGGAGAAAAACATGCACTAGAGTGAGTAGCACGTGCTCGGATTCACTTTCAGGGGCAGACAGACAGCCAAGTCACACAGCTAAGCCGCACTTCCTAACGAATGCAACCAAGGAGCATGCGCCACTGCCACGAATCTTCTACCAAGAGCTGTACTATCTTAACCACAATTAGCAGGAACATGGCAGCACGTGGCATCGGGCACCATAGTCACCCACAAGGTGAGAACGACGGGGAGGAGCTTCGGGTGTCCCGCCTCTAGCATGAGCTTCCTACCTTTGACGATGCTTCAACGTCCCGTGCCTCTCGAGCGCAAGCGCACGCGTGCAACCAAGGGCATGGCAAAAGGCACGGAATGGGTGCTGAAGGCCAGGCATTCAAAAGACACACCCCACCATTCTCACTCTGTCATAGACCACATCGAAGCACTCCAACACGCAACGGCAGTGACGTGGATGCACTACAGCCATGCACCGGGCCGTCAGGGTGATCCAACAGTACAGATGCCACGTGCTCCGGTATTCCTGCTACTAACCGCGATTGAGATCGGGCCTCCACTAAATGCCGTAAAGCAGCCATTATCCCGATAGCAGAGACAGAAAATGTGAGAATCGGCGAGAGGATACAGTAGGCCCCGCCTCCCTCGACGGCCCCGTTTGTCGAGATGGCGCAGATGGAGAGCACGGTGAAGAAGAGGATGGAGTAGGCCAGCACTATCTCCACGAGGCACTCCAAGAGGCCCGAGTGGCCAATGAGGAAGCCTGCATGCAAGAGGAACGGGGTGATTAGCATGACGAACAAAACTCCGAAACTGAAGTCAACGCACAAAGTCTCAAGGCTGGCACCTTAAGCCTCATTCACAAAGTTGCGTTCGACTGCGTTAAGACTGCTTGCATCGAGCGCTGCTATGGCGGCCCTTACGACGAGCCAATGGGAAGGCGCTGTGCTGTACCACGCAACGCAGTCTATGCAACTGTATGAACAAGCCTTCAACCCTGAAATACTATAAAAGAGGTCTGCTTCATCGGCACTTTCACAGAAGCTGCAAAGCACTTGGAAGTGGAACGCAGGTTTGAAAAAAAATTTCAAGAAGCACCCTTTAAAGGGAAACTGAAGCGGTTCTGTATTTGAGAAAAAACTATTCAATGGCCTTCATTCAGACTCCGAAATCACGAATATTGAGATTATTTTTCAATTTGGTCTACGGAGGCTGCAGAAATTAATTTTTTAAGTACCGTCGAAGCCCCTCCTTCCCAAGGCATGACGTCACACTAGGAGTTTTCGAAATCTCTGCTCTCGCGCATCTTCAGCCCCTGTCAAAGGTATGCACGTACATTCTTGCTATTTTCAAAAAGGTCAGAAAGAGATGTCACGAGTGTCAGTGCGGTAAAATACCTGGCACGGTGCCAACACGAGCGACTTACGCTTGACGGCCCAAGGTTCCTAGTGTGATGTCATGATTGGTCGGAGGTTTTTTGCGTTTAGTTATATCTACGGGGAAAACGAACATAATATTCCGATTCACAGAATAAAAAGATGCCAGAATCCAACTCTAATTCTTTTTTTTAAGAAATGTTTCAGCTTCCCCTAAAACACTGGAGTACACTTTATAACTATAACCCATTGGTTTGCATCCATAAAATGGTGGAAACCTATGAAGCAGTGCCGTAAAACATTGCCCCTGTGGAACTATACAAGCTTGGTTCTCTTAGGCTACTGAACAGGGCACAAACAAACTGAGCTTGTCATGATAGTGAAAAGGTGTTAAGCAGCATGACTACCATTAAAAGTGACAATAGAGTAGTTTTCCAATCATCATTCAACAATAAAAAAAAATTATTTGGAATCTCTGCATAAAGTCTGAGAAAGTTCCCTTTCATCAACATGTGTCGCAGTATAACACACCCATGAAGCAAGTCGGACACCTACAGTATCAGTGGCAACATGATCAAGCCACAACTATAATAAAAGCTCATTTAAAGAAGGATGCGGGTCGAAAATCTGGAATTTTTTGCAAAAACCATTACTACGAGGGTTTTGGGAATTTTCATATTTTATCCATAAAAATAATAGGGACCGATTATGATCTCGAAATTAGTCAAATACACCTTTGAAGAACTCCCTGCAACCCAGAACGGTATAAATATGAGCCACTTTTGTGTGGGCGGTTCTTCAAATTGTGACATCACCCGCCATCATATTTATGTTGAGAACTAGGCATAGCCATCTTCTCTCCATCGCAGTCTTCTGTAGCTTCAATTTCTCACAATATTTTTATTTTTATTTTTGGTGCGAGGGAGGGGGGTCAATGTGCATGTGTATATTAAAAGTAGGATTCCGTGTTTTCGGAGCTAAATCTTGCAGTTTTCCATTTCCCACAAATAAAAAAACGTAGCATCCGGGAGTAAACATATGCTAGATACAAAGGAATGCACTTGTATCCATTAATATTTATTCAGCTGTATTTGGCGTTGGCACCATTGCCATTGACAATAATAATTTGTCCCACAACAAAAGTTGGAAAAGAATGTTGCTTCGATGAATGTCTATGCCTTAAAATCAATGAACTCCTGGACGTGTTCGCTGGGAAGCTCGAATTCATCCCATCCTATCATTCAACCCACCCCATGGCTGCAAGAGGTGGAGTGGGAAAGGGTGCAATATAAAAGCTTCAACTGCCCAGCCCTTCTTTCCACGTCTATGGAATCTCTATGGTTCATAGCTTTCAATATTACAAAAAACACAACCCCCCTCCCTCTAAGCAGCACAAATAGCATGGCTTGAAATGGAAACCGGAAGTGGCCTTTGTCATGACCCAAAAGTACAATGACCTGTTCTGAACAAACCTTGACAAGATAAGTCGTAAGATCCCTTTTGTCAATGGTCCGAGATTTGAAAAAAAACTGGGAAGGCATTTTCTCCAGACCATTAGTATTTGGAGTTTATCAAATAAATCCAAATTGACAGAAACTCTACCGGCGGGTGCTTTTCATAGTTTTTTGGATTTATCTGAAAACGCAGACCCCAATTTTACAGGGTGGGCTGGATTTCTAGGGAGACAAGCCCCACAGCACCCCCCCTCCTTCCCAGGGCTATGCCAGTGAAGAGTTTCAGTTGTCCGTTATAGTCACCCCATCTACCATCGCTGGGAAACTGCTGCAATATAACGGCTCATCAGTTTGGAGCACAGACCCTCAGTCACCTATTCAACAAGTAGTATTTACTTGTTTGACCTTTGAGAAGTTCCCACAGATAATCTGCTCAAGCACACCAGGTCAAAGAACCCCATGGTCAGTGCTACAGGGACTTGTGCCCATTACTTCAAAAAAGTAATTAATTGCAATCAGTCAGCCTAAAAAGTAATGGATTGCCATAACAAATTACTTACTGTAAAAAGTATTTGATTATTTACTTCGTTACTTTACTCAATTATTTTTGCATTACTTAAAAAAAACAAGCAAAGGACATGCAATGCCTGTCGTGTATATGAGGGGCAAAACAGTTTGCCCCATTAAAAATAAAATGCATATAAAATATACTCCGTACAATATTCCGATTAGGTTAATAATGTTAAGAAGAAAAATCTATAAAGTTTAGAACTACTCAAATTGGTGTTCGAGATAAACGAGTCTTGCGCTGTTCAACCAGGACAACACTGAATCAGATGAACACACGAAAAACAGACTTGTTAGGTATAGTCATGATTATCTTATTATCGCTCTGCAGCCGATGAGATTGGGGCCCATAACAATGTCACCGAATGAATCAGAACGCAAGAAGTGTGAACATTATAGGCCAAGCCCTGCAATTCTTAAAGGGACACCGACAGGTTATTTATGCATGAGGTGGTTTTTAGTTGAACATGACCTAAAAGAGCCCTATTACCCAGTACATAAACCGCGGCTCCTAATTTGCTTACTTTCTGCCTGAAAACAGCCGGTCGAGAATCAACCAGTTTCAGTAGCGCTCACTCTCTTTTCTATGGTCACATGGCATTCGAACAATGTGTGCCAAATACATTCAAAGTTGTGGGTCATCTAAGGCACACATTCATATTAAAAATAGAAAAGAATATGAGCCCCATTTTTGGTGGCCTCCAAAAAGCAACCAATATGTTGATAGAAAAAAAAAATCTTGCACAGATCACAGGAAGTACATGTACACGTCATTCTCAATATGGCGAGGTACCACAGGCTGGATGACGTGATGACAGCGCACGACGGGCCAACATAGCGACAGACGTGGGGCCGCTACTTTGGAACTGTCTTTCGTGGTACTAGCCAGTCTATCTTCAAGCGCTGAACATAGAGGACATAAGTGTGAAACAATCTCCGCACAAACGGTGCACACAACTCATTGCCATCTGCTTCACATGATGAAGAAGCGGAGAAAAAAAGAAAAAAGGGTCAGGTTTAGTCACATGACTTCCGACCATCAGCTTCAGCACTCGTGTTTCCGTGTCGAGCAGTTGAGATTTATTAAAAATATATGTAACTCTGGAGCAAGATATTGTCAGTGACAATAATTATTTAGGATAGTAAATAAATTATATTCCCGTTGGCATTGTGAACACATTGACAAACTGTTAGGTAGACAGACCATAAACGCTTGTTGTCAAATGTGTATGAAATGCTTTCTTTTTATTTTTGCATGCACTTCCGAGTCGGTGGATTTCGACAGCAGAATCGTGGGCAAGGGAGCTGCATAATTTCTGCACACATATCGAGTCCAATAGGCTTGAAAGCTTGATTGGACGGAACGCAGCTGTTACGCTACCCAATTAGGCAGGCCACACAGACCGTGAACCCCGGCCACAATGCGGGGCGCACACAGCTGCCTCCCGTGTAATCGAGATGAAGGACGGCAGGGGTTGCGCATTGTGTCGTCGCTAGCTGTCACGAGTGTGAGAGCGACAATGTATACCACGTGAAATCAGGAAACTATCAGGTATGGACTGGCGGCGCTTCGCGATGAGGAGATTGAGCAATCCGCGCGAGCACCTCGTCAGACAGGCCGTCCGAAGGCTCGAAGCTGCGCTATCTCCATTCATTCCCTCGTGACGCGATAGGAAGTTCGCCTGGCACGCCGACGATTCATTGGATTCGTCGAAGCGACGCTGCCCGCCGGAGCGCCAATGCGAACGCTAAAAAGTTAAAAACGGATTGCAAGATTTTTCTGTTTTGCTTTTCTTTATTGCTGATGTGTTCTCGGTACAGCGTAGTTTTTATTACGTAGCCTCCAGAGAGAAAAGCAAGAAGGGTTGCCGAAAACACCTGCAAGCCACCTACGAGGGCACGTAAAACTGCGTAAAACAATAGAGCTCGGCGGAGTATATTTCGTGCGTCTGCGATTACAAGGACAATCGGCGCGTGACGTTGGCTGGCGGCTGGTGCCCGAAGTACAAGAGCGTTGTGCGGTACTACACCGCTCCTATTAAAAACGCACGACTACTTTTCGCAAAACGAAAGCGATCGTTCTGGCAGCTCCTCAAAAGTGCTCGCGACTGCGATCGTTCTCCGGGGTATGAGTCAACTTCCTGAAACTCCAGTATGGCCCAACTTGAATCGTGGGAGGATAGAGGGTCACCCAACTTTTTCTTCTTGTTTTTCTTTTTTGTTTCCCAACGAAGGCCGCTGAAATGCGCCGCGGGCTGACCGGTCAAAGACACTAGGAGAGATACTCACCTATTCGCAAGAAGAGGATCGCGCTGAACATGGACAGGCAGACCGGCGTGAAACAGCCCGAGAAGGTGGCGAGTCGCCTGTTGGTGGACGACCCCTGCGAGGACGTCTGCTGGGGGCTCTGGGTGCCGCCGCTCAGGCTGCGGAAGAGGCGGGTGTGCCTGAGCAGCGGCGTCTTGTCGTTGGGCCGAGGCCCGCCCGGCACGGCTCCCTGGGCCAGCGAAGACAGGGAAGCCACCGACGACGACTGGGACGTCACCGAGGTGCAGTTCGGGTCCGTCATTTGGACGATTACGATGGGCTGTTCGGATTCAGCGAAGCCTAACGAAGTGACGACTTTGTTGTGGGCCATCCACGGGGCGCGGAAGTGGCCCTGTTCGCGGGAACGGTCGCGTCGAGCGACGGGAGGCCCCTGACGCTGCCTGTCACGGCTGCGATTGCACGTCCCACGACGGATATCACCTGGCAGCTGACGCGACGCCACCCATATCGGAGCAGCAGCCCGTTGCCTGCGGAGTCGACGCCAACACGCGATTGTGGGTTAGCGTTGCCGCTCACAGATGGCGCCAGGTGATAGAGCACCTAACGCCACCTCTAGGCCAGTTGCATAACGTCAACAGCACCACTGCGCTGCGCGCGGAGGGGCGGAGGTGGCGGAGGTTTGAATTGTTTGAGTAGTTTTGTTGCTCACAGGTGCATTAGCGGGAGACAAAACTTTAACAAATATATGCTGGCCAGTTTTTCCGGATGCAAACCGGTTGACAATTCATTCCCATGGCTGTCCGTCCTCCGAGGCATGGCGGCAAAGAAGACGACAAGCCGTATTTTCTCGAGAGAGCAGTTGGCGTTGATTTGTTCAAGCTTCTTCTCAAGTGACTCCCACAAGACAATTGCACTTCCCACTGCGCCTCTCATCTTTCTGTAATTTTCTTCTTTTTTTAACAGAGAATGTGTTATATGGCTGCGCAGTCGATGCTACAAGCCGATGGGACCAACCAAGTAGTGCCAAAATCACAAAATAATGGTGTACCATGTTTTTTTGTTTTTTTTTCTGTTTACTTGTTCTATTATCGGCTAAACCAATCATACGTAGTGAAGTGTGTATTCGTGCCTTTGACTGCGCTCGCACTTGTAATGAAATGAAGTAACAGTACGTAGCGGATTTCTTGGAACGGAAGATCGTTACAGTAGTGGTAAGCGTTCGTCTGGAGCTCACGTCCTCAGTGATTGACCACGAGCGCTGACGCAGCACTAGTGTGTCATCTATGCACCACGCAAACTTCCGTCAATGTTCCTCAAGAACCGTAATATATATATATATATATAAAAAAAAAAAAAAAAGAAAAACGTTCAGCCTTACCACTCTCGTGAAGAAGGAAGACCAGCGGAGCTGTACTCGATACACAGTAGGGTGACCACCCGTCCCGCGACTCGCGGGACTGTCCCGCATTGAGGGCTCGTGTCCCGCGTCCCGCAAGTGTAATCAAAATCTTCAAAATGTCCCGCATTTCACGTAAAATTCACTCATGGCGCTGCCGAACAACGGGGCATGAGGAAACGCGGAGGTCACTGGTGTGAATCGCGATGGTACACCAATTTCTATGAAAGCATTGCGGCGAGCGACCGTCGTTCTCGCAGGACAACTGACGCCCTGCGAGAACGACGATGCTCTTCCCTTGGTGGCAAAATATTGCGAAAGAAAATTGCTCGACAAAAAAAATAGAAAAATACATTTTTGTAATTGTTTTCAAATCATGCTGTGTCAATGCAAAAGGGTTGCTGTGGAAAGTTTTATTTTTTAGTGAAGACCACACAAGCCAAGACGACTGCAACTCACAACGGTCAAAAACAACAACATAATTGTTCGAAATTTGTGTAGGAGCATATTGGTAAAAATAAGAATCCACAAGAAACAAGCCGTAAAAGATTTACTGCTTCTGCTATCATTTTGATGCATTGAGTTCTGCTGCAGTCGATTTTATGTTTTCAACTTAGACACATTTATTAACGTTTGTGGCATTAAAACACAAAAAATGTATGAGTGAGTGAAAATTATTTGAGCCTAATTGCCGCAATACGAGTGAGTATGCAGGCGAGCTGGTGATAGCTAATCATGTCATATAACACCTGAGACTGTGGTGGAAGAAATTGGAAACTTTTTAGTAGAGTGAACAGACACAAAAAGAGACGTCCCTTTCTATGTCTGTTCCTTCTACTAAAAAGTTTCCAATTTCTTCCACCACAGTCTCAGGTGTTATATGGCATGTATAATATGCTTTCGGACAAGACAGGATATTAAATGTGTTAGCAGAGCCACATTTCGTGGCGTGTGTTGTTAAATTTCCTCGAATAGTTTTTTTATGGTGTTTTTAACCTGAGATTAGACAGAAGGAGGGGAAAAAATGTTCTTCCGCCCCAGTCTTGGCGTAAAAAGCATCATATGGTAAACGTCCACCGACTCGACTGCACACTAAGTTTTTTTTTTTTTTTTTTTTTTTTTTTGCAGTTGTTACAGTCGAAATATAATACCGTCCTTCCCTTACAAACCCCCCTCCTCCCCCCCCCCCCCCCCCCCCCCCCCATCTCGGTCAGCGTGTCCCGCATTTCGCTAGCAGGAAGGTGGTCACCCTTAGTGCCACTAATGGTGAATTCCGCTCGCAGATCTCGAGCGCTCCAAAAGCGCTCCATTTGGAGCGCGCATATTCCGCTCGCAGATCTGGCTCAAGTTGGTCATCTTCCGCTCGTAGATCTCTGGCAGCGCCCGCTCCACGGGGCGCCCCAAACTCCGCCGAACTTGCTCTGCGAGGTTTCACGGATCTCTCCGGAAGCTGACAGAGCGGCCCACGTGACTTCCGTCTAAATCGGCGGTGCGCCTGCGCGGCGAGGTTGGAGAGATCGGCGGGCCCGGCGGGCCGGTCGGGTCGTGGAGTCGGATCTGTTCGGGTGCGTCGGTTGTTTACTCTGGATTGTGACGGCTCGAACGCTTCTACCTCGCGTAGATCAGGGATAAAAAGTCGGGAATGTGGAGCGTGGCAAATCGTAAGCGCTGACGTCTGTGATTGTGAGAGGGAGAACGAGAAAAAGAACAACAGAGAAGCCGGAGGCAGACGCAAGGTTAGGCCTATTCATTCTGCAGCCAGTGATTGTTTACCTTTTTACGCTGCATTCCGTCGGCGTTTTCCCGTGAAATAAAGCAAGAAGTGGTTAGGCAACGACCGCGCAAGTGATGGTTTGTTACATCTGTGTTTATTGAAGTCGTACTACAAATCTGAACTCCACGCTGGCAATCCCTGTCCGTGCCCGGGCCCGCCGCTTCGAGGCGGCCGAAAGGTATGTGACGGTGCCGAACGCGGACGTCTTCGTTATTTGTGACATGGGTGCCGCGGTACGTATATTTTCGCCCGGCCTGTTTCGCGTGTTGCTTCTGCAGCTAAGCAGTGACAGTCGTCACTGGTCGTTGGAAAGATCCGCCGGCTGAGGCGTTGGTGGGCTGGTCGGCTGGTCAAGTTCAAGCAGCGGCCATTTTGTACGGCGGAGGGAGAAGGGGTGGAAGGGGTGTGGGGGAGGTCGCTCCAAAAATGCAAGTTTATCTTCCCCTCGTCGATTCGGAGCGGGTCCCACGGAGCGGAATTTTGCCTCCCTCGCGGATTTTGGAAAGCGCTCCAGATCTACGAGTGGAATTCACCATAAATAAGCTCATTCAGTGGCTCTAGTCAACCTAATACACTGTGTGCTTCTTCTTCGTTGTCGTCTGTTTTGCGCGCTGTTTCCTACGATGAATTCCCACCAACGCGCCCAACTATCCATTCTTCTATTATAGCTGGAAAGGTTGCTGCCATCTAAGAGCGACGGCGGAAACCATACTGGTTGTGTGCTTGCCGCCGTCGCTTATAAATGGCGGTAGCTGTCCAGGTAGGTTTGTGTCGACATACACGGACACGATCCTGGGAAACCTAGCCCTTAACAGCTCCGCTGTAAAAAATGCTCGAGGCACACCTAAGCACTTACGAGTTGTGAACGCGAAAGCACGCACGCCGCTCTTCGCTCTTTTCTTTCGTATGCGGCGTACGGCGCGCTGACCTTGGGCGTGGAGCGGTGGAGCCGCTGCCTCGTTAGGGAGCCTATGCCTCGTGGACACGCAGCGCCATCGGGTGAGCGATCGTTGAAACCGACGCGCAATGGCCAATGGGGGCTTCGTCGACGCGCGCCAGCCAATGGGACCAAAGCCGAAAAATTATCAGCTTTACTTCGCTCCTTTGGGATCGGGGAAACTTCCGCGTGTCCCAAAAATCGGTTTCTCAACCTCTCGCGTTCCGATTTTGCACAGCGTTGGGCACAGGT